CTGTTTGGGGACGGCGGTGACTCGATATTTAGCAGCTACTGGATATTCTGCAGGCGATTCACAGCTCATGCACGTGCAGACTCTCTCCCACCGCGCTGGAGATGCTCACGATGCGTGATTCCACTACAGCGCGTCAGGTTGGAGTCGCTGCTTCGCTGAGAGGTGGGGGTTGAGGCAGAGGACACAAGGAATCATGGGATGCAGAGGCTCTCTAGCATGAGTCAGGCATGTTGCGTAACAGCGAGAGGGGAGGGAATTGAGGCCAGTCTCCCCCACCTCCCCCGGCCCCGGCATGGCACAGGAGGGGAGGGAGCGATGGCGAGCACGCCTGGAGGCTAATTCACCATCTTTACTCGAGTACTTGACTATTACCTCGGTGTAAGGCTTTCTACTTTTCATCCACTTCACTGGAGAGTTTTAATGCTCTGAAAAAGATCTGGAAAAACACAGCATAAGATTAAAATAATCATTCTTTCTCTGTGTGCTTCCTGGATTTACTCCTCTCACGACGTCGTGTTATTGTTCTTCCAGGTTTCCTCCTTTGTTTACAACCTCCCGTCCTGACTTTTTTCATCCTTTCTCGAATCATTTTGTACCTCATTCTTTCCTAATTTCGTTCCTTTTATTTAGATCCTCGTCACTTTCTTATACTGAAAACATGAATTCCATGATTCCATACATTATGGGATTTTTGGCAGATGAACACCTGAGATGCGGCCAATCAGCAGCTTCATATGAACAAACTGAGCTGTCGGGGTGAACATGTGTTTATTACTACATTTCTTTAAGTGCTCTGTTTAGCTTGTGACTCTTTCAGCCACTTTCCCTGACCTGGATTAACCCTTGATCGAGACTAAAAGAAAGATCTCCATTTTCTCGCCTGGACTCGTCTGGATCCACGTCTGGGAATCGGAGCCTTCAGCTGCTGAATGTTCAGCTGTGTGTTCACCACACGTTGCTGATTGTGTCTGCGGCTTGATGCAGGGCTGGTATGTTGTGTGTTTGTCGGAGCTTTTCCATTGAACGCTGCTGCCAACTGTGGCCAAAAGCAACGCTGTGTGAGCAGCAGCCAGAGCGAACCAGAAAGCTGCAAGCTAGAAAACCACGAGCTTAAAATGCTAACATGCTAATGGTCTAAAGCGAGGAGGTGACGAATCCCAGAGGGTTCATCACTGTGAGAGAAGAGCTGTAGTGGTGGGAGGTGAACTCTGGAGCCTGACATTAAATAAAATATGTACAGGTGGAGTAGAAAGTATTTCCCTCTGTGATGTAATGAAGTCCCTCTAAGCTGTAGTGAGGTTCAGTACTGGAGTAAATGTGGCTCATTACTTCCCATTACTGCCTATTTCACATCACACAGCCACCAGAGCCACGACATCGCTCTGTGACATCGACTGAGGCAGCTTTAGGAGCAAACCTTAATGGACTTTAACATTCACTCTGTCAACTCTGGAAGGGAACGGCAGCTCCAGCTTGACCCGACTTCCAATCAAACGTTGCAGTAACTACACTGTGAACCCTTTTTGAATACATGCAGGTCAAGAATATGACTCGTACACTGATCTGCTACAACATTAAAGCCCTGACAGGTGGAAGTGAATACCACCGTTTATCTGGTGACCATCTGATGTTCTGCTGGGACACCGTGGGTCCTGACATGTCCCCTCCATGGCAGTGGCCTCCCCCTTCAGGACAACGTGCCTCATCGGAAGGGGCTCTAGAAGAATGGCAAAGACCCCAAGATGTTGCCTCCACCAGATTCAGATCCAGCACCGAGCCTGATCGAAGGAGGCCCACCTTGCAGCGCACAGGACACTCAGGAGCCACATCCCAGAGCCAGACACCAACGGACGGCCCAGAGCTCCTGTGTTCGCAGCCTGATGGTCCAGAGCTGCTTGGGCAGCATGAGGGCTGATCAGTATCTGTGAACCAGAGGACGCTGCATGCTTTATATTTCTCTGTGTGAGTGGACCGACTGAAAAAGCCCAAACAACCTAATAACCAAGTGAAGGCCTGGACAGAAGCAAAGCGTGGCTGTGAGTGAGCGTCCCTGCTGCTCTGTGTATGTATGAGCCTCTGTTTGACCACATAGAGGGAATATTACTGCCCAGCAGCAGCAGCCTGTCTGTTCAACATGCTTGTTTGTTGCAGAAGCCTGAGACGGAAAATAGAAAAAAGCACTGCAGCTCTGTGACCAGCAGACAGCTACGACGGAGCTGAGAGAACATCTTGTCCCCGAGCAGCTCCCAGACCTAAAGACTGAACTGAAACTTTCTGCAGCACGAGCTGTGAGAAACATCTGCACTGATGTCACCAGCTGATCGGTTTATAGACGCCAGCGTCAGCAAAAGTGATGTTCAACAGTTTTCCTCTCGGTGCCGAACCCATGAAGCTCATTTACAAAGAGCCCAGACAGTCGATAGCAGGCGCCCCTCCTGCAGGGAAACGGCGTCATTGGCGTGGCAGCAGCGCCGCTGAACAGGCACAAGGTTACGTAAGCGTCCAACCAGCACCGCTAAAATAATGCAGCTGAACACTGGAGAGGAGATCTTGTGAAGTTTACGCCGCTAATGTGAGGATTTGTTGCACAACTTTATCTCCTTGGGTCCGTGTTCCTACAGGCCTGAATCTGCTGTTCTTTCAATGTGACTGTATTTAAGAGCATCTACAGATCATCTCTCCAGACGTCTGATTAAAACAGATGCTCTCTATGTTCCAGTCCTGGTCACCGCTATGGGCACCAGAACCTGGACAACGTCTACAGAAATAAATGGAAATGTACCAAATCCATACGATCACAATTTATTAACTGGATGTCCAAAGTAATTTAACATAAAATATCATTTTTCAAAGGCACCTCTGCCTAGTATCTGGTTGCAGCCTGTGGCAGCGTCGACGCCTCCAGACGGTTCCTGGAGCCCTCTATAAGCTTCTTCTCAGCTGGTATTTTCTCCCACACTTACTTTCCGATGTGTTCAAGCCCTTGAACATTTGCAGGACTCCTTGGACCAGTGGCAGATTTCGGCTCATGCCACAGACTTGTAACGGGGCTTGTGATGAGGACTCATCGCTCCATTCGGTCCTCTTCAACCGTCCCTGCCTGCTTTTCTTGTTTTATCATTTGCTGTTCTGTATCAAACACGAGGTGTCTGCAGACCAAAGCTGCTTCACTAGGTTCACTTTTCCAGCAAATATTCAACATTTTGTATTTAAATGTCGTTGGTGCTCTAACGGTGAGCAGGACTGTAGTTGTGTGTGTAAAGTGCAGAGTGCATTAGAGATGGTTATCCTCAGGATCCCTCTGGCCCTCCATCACTGTGTCCTTGCTCTGCAGCCAATGACAGATGGTGAGGTAGGTTTGGACTGATTGAACATTAGCCCTCAGGATAGGAAATTATCGCAAGTTCATTCCCCCCCACACTGTACACACACAACAACACACACAGTGTCAGTGAGGCTGCAGACATGGATCAGCCACAACATTAAAACCATCTGCCTAGAGTTACACAGCTTCTCCTGATGATGCCAAAACAGGCCTGGACTCCTCACACCTCCATCCTGTGGTTTCAGGCGCTAACACGTTAGCAGCAGATTCTTTAAGTCCTGGAAAAACTGTGAGGTTGGATCGTATTGTTTCTCCAGCGCATCCTGCAGACGCTCAGTCAGACTGAGAGCTAAAGGATGTGGAGGCCGAGTCAACAGCGTGAACTCTGGTGATGAGCATGATCCTGCTGAAGGAGGCCATCAGGGAGTGCTGCTGCCATGAAGGCTGAACTACAACAGTGTCTAAGTACACTGTTAAAAAAACACACAGAAAACGTTCTGTCAAAACAAATCAGGAAAATATGGCAGAAAGGGTTAAAGATGAAGAGGAACAGTAAGATAATGCTCAAAGAGCTGTATGAATGGTAAACATAATGGAAATAACCCTAAAGCAGTGATAATTTAGCTGATTTATCATCAGTTAAACAGTGTAACAGTGAAATGAATAAGTGACTGTTTGTTTTTGACGTGGACACCAGTTTGGTTTTGGCCTGTTCTGCTTTGATTCTGTGATTTTGCAAGGCGTTGTCTGTAATTTAACAAAACATGGAAAATCTGTAAAATATCTGTAAAATATGATGTGAAAGAAAGCGTGATTCATCAGACCGGGCCGCCCTCCTCCACGGCTCCATGGTCCTGTTCTGGAGCTCATGCACCCGATGCTTCTGTCGGTGGACAGGGACACTCTGCAGCTTCATTCATCCTTCTATCACAGGAGGTCTTCAGCAGTTTGTCCTCCAGCAGCTCCTCTGTGAACCCATGATCAGTCCCCGGCTCACTGGACCTCTCCTGTTCTCTGCTAACCACTGCACACCCAGACACACCACAAGGCCCGCTGTTCTGGAGATGTTCTGACCCAGTCATCTAGCCATCACAGTCTGGTCCTTCTCAAAGTTACTCACATCCTCAGATGCCTATTTTTTTCACAAACATCTTGGAGAGCTGTTCCCTTGCTGCCTGATGCGTCCCACCCCCTGACAGTTACGCAACACGACGGTCAGTTTCCCTCCACAGGAGGAGCAGGAGGAGCAGGAGGAAGACAAACAGCAAGAGGAGTACACAATAAAGAAATAAGAATCCAATCACCTCCACATTCACACACTATCTGGTTAGAAAGCAGCTGCACTGAAGCAGAGAAGGCTGCGTTTGGACTGGCTGCTGGTTCGATTTAACATTCTGCTGCCGTTCAGAGGCTGCACGGGCAGTTGAATCTTAAATAGCTGTAGTTCCACTGCCAGCAAAGCTGTAGAAAAGCAATTACCGGGGGATAAACTGCAAAGGTAGGGGCTAAGATAAGACAGAGATAAAATGTGAAGTGGTGGCATAAAGTGCCAAAGGAGGCAGTGAGATGAGAACAAACAGAGGAGATGAGAGGCTGCTGGTACTGAGGTGTCATCCAGCAGTTTGTTTGTTTGTCTTCTATCTGGAAGCAAAAGAGTGAAGTGTGGACATCTTACCCAGCATGCCTTTGTTGGGCTCGGATAGACACATGTCCTTCTCCGCACTGGGCAGCACGAAGCCGACCACAAAGATCTCCACGCCGTCCGCCATCAGCGCCAGGCCCAGGACAAAGTAGAGCGTCCACTGGAACTTGCCGTGGCCACACTCCTGCAGGATGGTCTCGTACTGCTGGGCCAGCTCCTCCTGGTCTTTCCTCCTCTCGCCCTCGAAGGCCGACAGATCCCTGAACTGCTGCGCCTGGGTGGCCGTCACTCCGTCCATGCTGCCGGGCTTGCCCGAGTCTGCCCTGGGGATGCCCTGGTACTCGCCTTCGTAGATCTCGTCGTCCTCGTCGTGTCCTTCGGTGGAGTCGCTGTGGCCTTCGTCGTCGTTGGCCCGGCTGTCGTTGCGATAATATCCGCCGTCGTTGCCCGGCACGCCGGCATAGTCGTCCTCGTCGTCTTCCTCCTCGAAGCGCTTGTAGGAGCGCTTGGTGTACTCGTCCGTCATCTTGTCCATGCCGCGCCCCACCTTCTTGCCGACCTGCTTCTTGGCAACTTTGGCAATGTCCTTGGCGCCGCGGATGAAGTCTGAGCGGCCGTCTCTGTAGCGCCCGTCGTCATCCATCTTGAATGTGTGGAGGTGGTGGTCAGTTGCTGCGAGGAATAGAAAGTATCAGGAGCGGCCCGAGCACATGAGTGTGTGATGGGGATCTCTGCTGGCTGCTGGACTCAGCACCGTGGACAGCTCCCTGCTCGCTGCTGCTGGACGGCGGCCAGAGTCTGAGGAGAAGAGAGAACAGAGTTAGCATGAGTCACCACCCCGGCACCGTACCGCCCGTCAGGAAGAAACACCCATTATGAGCACATTTCTAACAGTCCAGATTAAAGGTAATTAATACGGATACACCACGGAGCACGGGCATTCACAGCGCGTTGACATTTGCAGGACACGTTATCTGGCTCAGCACTAATAGCTGCAGAAAAAAAAGGACATGACAGCTTTAAGGAGCTGACATCTGAGTGCAGGAGCTCCGGTGTTAACGGAGCAGCATTTATCTCTCGGCTCTCTGCAGCTCTGCACAAATCACAGCGTGGCATTTCCAGCGGCGCGCCACAGAGGCAGCACATAACGGAGCACGCTGCGACACAGAGCCGCGTAATTAACAAGCAGAGCTGCGATGTGGCGCCGCAAAGGTCACTGTACACCGAAGTAGTGCCACTGCTGGGGTGAGATTCATGCTCCCACTGAGGACAGCCACCATCACAGCCTGTCCGACACCAGGTACACGTACTTCTGCTCAGTCAGAACACATCGTTATCATTCTGCGGTGAAGTCTGTCACGCCTGTGTGACTCACATTATTGAAGGTAGAAATATTCACTTCCTTAGACGTATGGAAGAAACCTGGTCCTGTGCTGTTCCTGCTGATGCAGAAGAAACAGACGTTTGTGTCACTGTGATGCTGGTTTGTGCTGCTGATGAGGACAGACTGGAAACAAACGACATCGTTAGCATGTGCGCTGCAGGGAGCATGCTGTGAATTTTAACTTTAACAAATACACTGAAACTATAAACTGATATTCCATCTTCCATCTTCTGTTCTTTAAACACAAACAGCTGCACAAGAACATTATCTGAATAAAATGCAACCCAAGTTCTGCCAAATCACCAAATAACTGAGAAACTTTCTGATGTAAGAATGACTCACCTCTGAGCCTGAGCAGGTTTTTATGGGTTTCAGCACCACATGCGTAAACAGGGATAAGAAGTAGTTGATGTCAGATTTCTTTGACTCTCTGTAAGTTGCCAAATCCTCAAAAACTAACTCAAACTCCATCAGTAGGATTAATTCATCCCCTAAAAACTCATCTTTTCTTGAAATGAATCTCTTCCTGTTTGAAAATGACAGATGGACCTCCACACCAGCTCGCCGGCCTCTCTGACTGAACGCTGCTCTGAAGACCAGTGATAAGGTCCCAGCCTGCAAGCTGACAGGATTTGTTCTTCAGGTGTGTGATGTGTGAAACCTGAAGAGTCTGAATCTGTCATCAGTGGAAACCCTCAGCCATGGAGCTGACTGCCTGGTTCTGTCATGACGTGTCCTCCAGCACATGACACGTGTTAACAAGGTAAAACACAAACAACTTGAGTGAAGACGTCTGGAGAACCTAGTTTTTGCTCTCTGCTGGTTTAATGATGAAGGTGCTGCTGTGACGTACAGGTCGACTCCAGCGCAGTTGGAGATGATTCACGTCTACCAGGGATGGACCGGTATGGGTTTCCCAGCACCGATACCGATGCTGATTAGCGGTGCTCAACATGGTGGCCGATATACATTAAACCTAACGTTTTAACAGCATGTGATAGAAGCTGTCATTCATAACGAGGCTTCTTGTTAATAAAGGTGACTGAATAAGTAAAACAAACAGGAGTGATCACATCAGGACGCTCTGCTCTGGTTGTGGGACTGACTCAGGTTGGTCCGTTTGTCCACGGAGGCCTAAACAACCTGAACTCTGTCTCAGGGTACTGTCATGGCGTCCTTCTAACCGTTAGCGTAGCCTTAGCCGCTGTGAGAGGAGCTGATTTCCTGATTTGTGGCCACGGCTTGTGTTTCCGTTTCAGTTTTTGCAGTTTCTGCTTAAAAGACATTTCTGAGACCACAGAGTGACGACGGACAGACAGAGGAGGCTGATTTCATCTATCAATACTCAGAAATGTACCGTTAATCGGTAAAAAGCCAAAACAGAAACACCACCCAGGACAGTCTGTCCAGCCACTCCAGACCCAACCACAGCGAAGCAGGAAGCTTCCACACAGAGAGGGCGGAAATCCCTTCTCTGATAAGTTACTCTTCAAAATCAGACAAATGAAGAGAAATAAACTTCAGTGCAACCCACTTTCCACATATCGGCCTAAACCTATAAAACAGAGAGCTACCAGTTGTTCCTGCCAGCTGAACATGCTGAACATGCACACTGTCTGCAGACTGGTACTGTTGGTCTGCAGCAGCGTTCAGGAGGCCGAGCAGCGACCAGGCGCCCGCAGAGAGGACGTCTCTGGGGTTGGACTGCAGCTGCCGCCTGCACTGAAGTCGCTTTGGTAGCTTTCCACAGCGTCTTCAAAGAGAGCAGCAGCAGCTCAGCGGGGCGGAGGAAGAAACCGCTCAGCCCGGGGGACCCGACAGAACCGCTCAGCCCGGGGGACCCGACAGAACCCAGCAGGACTACAAACAGTGGCTGAACGCAGCGCAGAGCCACGTCAGAAGGCCTCAGCTCTCCTGTTTGCTCTTCATCCACGTAAAAAAGGAAACGACTTCACGTTCAGTCTCTCTGTTCGCTCTACAGCTTCACTGTGCAGTCGGAACAGCAAATAAAACTCACTGGAACAACAAAGTACAACTACAGATAAAACATCTTCACAGCTCTATAAACTCTCGTCCTCTTCTGTTCAGCTCTCTGCTTCTTCCTCGCTGTCAGCTGAGCAGCCGCTGCACCGCCCAGTATTTCATATCATTCATATTTACAGCTCAGCCTCAGTAGACCAACATCTAAACTAATGCAGAACAATGTGGCTGCAAGCAGCTGCAGAACCATTTCATTACGAATGCTCAGCAGCACTTACCGACCATCAGAACCTTCCTCTACAGACGCACGAGGACAACTTAGCTTTCCTTTATTGGATTTATGATTTGCCCTGATTGGTGCCCACAGGAGACGTTATCGCTGTCAGAGAGTACACTAATGATCCCTCACAGGGATTATGAATAATAAATAGAGGATCTTCATTCTCAGATAAAGACTTACTCGTCTGTATTTATTACTTTACATGAAGGTGTATCTGCAGAGCCCCAGAAGCTCCAACGATCAGAGTTTAAAGCCGTCCTGCCCTCTCCTGGTCCACCGGCCTCACCAACAGCTTGGCTTCAGTGATGGAGGCTCACATCCACTTCTTCTGAGTGGTCCTCTGGTTGCTCTGGTCCAGCTACAGACTTGAGCCGGAGACCCTCTCAGTCAGACGTCTGCTCTCCTGCTCACTGCTTCAGTCTGTTTATGCATCCAAAGTTCCTGTTTACGGTCAAACTAGGTCCAATGATTGATGGACTTTAGAGTATTTATCAGCTGTTAGGTTCATCATCAGGCTTCTGACTATTCTGAGAGTTGATTAATCACTTAGAGCCATTTTTAAAGAGAGAAAAGTCAACATTTTTCTAGAACTTGGGTACATTTAAATGTATTCCAGCTATGATTAATGCAGACGAACCCTTTTCAAGTAAAGATTTTATTCACTGCCGTTGCATTGGAGCTCAGAAGTGATATTTATAAATGTAAAAGTGAATTTTATTTCTCTCCAGTGTCACCCTGTTGCTGCTTACTGGAGAAATTAAAGACAAATAATGCTGATGTTTTCTGAGACAGGACGAGGACGTATCTGACTAATCTGATTCCTCCTCAGGCCGTCAGTGAAGCTGTCGTACACACAATAAATGAATGTCTACAGAACATCACCCGAGACCTGTAATCATTAACAACCGTGTTGAGGAGAGATAAACACACGTTCATGTTGTTATGCTGTGGAATGAAAAGCAAACATCTTCTGTCCTGTCGGGATGACGCTGGAGGCGAAACCACTTCACCTGCTCGTGTTTAATAACTGTCAGCATCTACAAATGAAACCCTGGTAAGAACCTGCCCCCGGTGCTCTGGGTTCTACCACCACACCGTCTGAGGAGCCATCGGATTCCTTGGCGGTGCAGCGATCAATAAATCAACGAGCCATGTAATTAATACATCAGGCCAATGGAGGGGCAGCGTTAGATTCCACCGGGTCGGTGCCAGGCTGAGCTTGTTAGCGTTGCTCCCGCTCATTAGAAACACTCAGCCTGTTTGTAGGAGAGTCAAAAGGAAAGAAAACAAGAGAGGAGGGAGGAGAGCTCTGAAAGCTTCCTGTGCTGAGCAGCCTCGGGGGGTTCAACAGACTCACAGCGCTGCCGAGCCAACGTCACCGACCCACAGGTCCGCTGGGACGGCTCAGTCTCTAAGAACGAGCCGAGGGAGAGTCGGCTGAAAGCAAAACCCAGGAAGACGGAAGACATTCAAACTGGAGGCTCCCTGAGATTCCCTCTGACTCTGAACACAGGACAGAAGTCTAGTGAGTCTACCTGCAGCAGATAACTGTGTGAATACTTCTGGTCGACAGCCAGCTGGTTAGATTCCAGCACCAAAAGAAATTCACCATCACGACAAAAACTGAGAACAAAACTACAAATCCAACTGTTAATCCACATTTGCTCATCAGGCTTTCATCTACTTAACATCCGAGTCATTTGTGTTGATCAGATGGTCACCAGCAGCAGGAAGAAGACCCGTCTGTGGCTGTAGGTTCTGGTTCAACACTGAGGGAGACACATTACAGGGTTTACAGGTCCTCCCCTGGATACTTTACACATTAAACACTTCATTTCTTGCAATCCTGCGACTTTAATGCACCAGTTTATCACAGAAACGTCTCTATTCATGTTTCTGGGTGTGTGTTCTGGTGTCTGTCCATGGAAATATAGATTTGATTCAGAGGCTGCATGAGCAAAATTCATCATTTCACAGTAAAAGAATAAAACGTGGCCCA